GATGGGAAATTTCAAAATCCCTCCACCAACTACACCATCTGCTGACAAAAATTTCTATTCAGCTAACAAAAAGGATATTCATGGGAAAGGGAACATCAGATGTAACTCAAATAGCTAAAGGATATGAAATTGCCAAAAGACCAATCCTCATAAACAATCATCTACCTGTCCCTGGTATACAATGTCCAGGCGAGGACTGGCAAATAGACTTCACACATTTGTGAGGGGGGGAGGCAAGGCCTGTCTACTTCTAGTCTAGGTGGACACCTTTACTGGATAGATAGAAGCATTTCCCAGCTGAACAGAAAAGGCACAGGAAGTGATACAGGCTCTTATAAATGAGATTATCCCAATATTTGGACTACCTACAAGCATACAGAGTGATAATGGGCCAGCCTTTAAAGCTGAAATCACACAGGGAGTCCCAAAAGCCTTGAACATACAACTTAATCTTCACTGTGCTTGGCGTCCTCAATCTTCTGGAAACATAAAAAGAATAAATGGCTTACTTAAGATACATCTTGTCAAATTAATGCAGAAGGCCCAGGTTCCTTGCATTAAATTATTACCTTTGGCCTCCGACAAGCCTGAGAAACACCCCCAGGCCACTGGGACTAACTCCTTTTGAGGCTCTATATGGTAGGTCTTTCAGAAGACCTGCTGCACAATCTTGAGATCACTGGACTAATATACTACTCACCTTGCTAGATTCCAACAGATCTTTCAGAACTTAGGGAACTCCTGAAAGAAGCATCACAGGGCTTTTCCTGTACTGTCCTGGAGACCTAATTCTAATTAAACAGGTTAAGGAGCCCCCTACCCTGAGTCCCAACTGGGACGGCCCTTACCTGTCATTTTGTCTACCCCAATGGCTGTAAAGGTGGCTGGTGTGGACTCTTGGATTCATCATACCAGAATTAAGAAATGGAACTCTACACTCTACCTGAGGACTCCGATGATGTCTCTTCAAAAACTGACTCTTACTCTTGTGAGCCACTAGAGGACCTCAAACTATTGTTCAAGACACAGTCAACCAAAACTCAGATGACTAGCCTCTCTGAGAGGAGAGAAAATAAATATATATAGTCATTCTTATTTTCACCTCCTTAGTATATAGCCCTATCAGTAGGACTTTATACTGCTGCCCCTTCTGACTGACCCCTATTGTTTATTTGGAACTTCTCTGGGAATCACTGCCATTTTCTGGGCTATACACGGCTTGCTATAATACTCATTTTTTAAAAATTGTAAAACCTTCCTGGCTAGTGACCCCATGTCTTCCCTGGAACCCAGAGTTCTTTGAACCAGAAACCAGAGAATGGGTGAATCGAAGTGCAGTTTGGTATGAACGAAACTCTAGCAACATCACTATGTATACAACACTATCAATACCAGTTGTAGGACCTGTATAGGTTCATTAATTTTCTCCTGCTTTTAGACAGGCCCTTACCTTACAATGGAACAAATCTACTGTGGATCTTTGCAGAGGGAAATGCTTTTCAGGGAGACTCTCCTATCTTGACCACCCTATTCAATCCCTTCCTGACTGATACCTGTTTTGAAAATAGCAGTTGTAAGGTCCCACCCAGTCTGTGTCCCAGCCTGTGTCACCATCAATATGGTAGGGGTTCCCCCTCAAGAACATCTACCTGACTATACTCTAGGCCAACCTCAGAGGGAGGTAGATGTTGGACTGTTATACCTGAGAAGTTGTGTGGAGTGCACTGTAACATAAAACAATGCTCCTAGGAACTCTTTGCACTTGTGGGCTGATTATGAAATTTCTCAACGGACAGTTCCAATTACAAGGAGTAACTTAGTGGGCTTATGCACCCTTCAAAACTGTCCTTACTACATGGGCTGGATGGAATTGGGAACCACTCTAGACCATCGCTTACCTGACTGAGAAGGGATCTGAATTGGCTATCAGCCAATGGCCTACACTCTATGTAGAAGCCACTTCTAAAAATATCTTTTCTAATTACAGAACTCCCTCTCTATAGAAGATAACCTTATACCACTGTAATGCATCCTCCTGTATTCTAAGGGCCCAAGTTCCCCAACTAACTTGGGCTACTAAATACCCTGTTGTTAAACTCATAGACCTGGGGGGGGGGGGATTAATAATGCCTATGGGACATCACTGGACATTCATTCTTTTTCTGAGAGGGATTATATTTCCCTTTCAGATTGTCAATTAAAAAGTGGACTTTGGTTATACCCACAGCAACAATTAAACCCCAATTTTACTCAAAATTGGTCCCACTAAAAATCATGTCTGGTATATAGGCAAGGGCATTTCCTGTTGGGAGGGCAATCAAGGTCAGTTAATCTCACTGACCTTTCACATGCAATCTTTGACGACAGGCTTCCTTTTACAGGACTTTGGCGTACCAATCAGTTAGCTGAACTACGCCTCACTTCCTTAAATAAAACCTGTATTAATAATGTAGAACCATTCTCCTTACTAACATTGTCCTTCAATGTTCCTCATGAGGCAAATGTAACAAAAAACCCTGGCTAGGTACTAATTTTGAGCTGACTGATGAGAAAATCCTCAACCTCCTAGACCAAATAATGGTGTTCTTCCATCATGTTCAACTAAGAGTAGTTAAAGGTGGCAAAGATGTCATCACTTTTGTCAGTGTTTATTAGCAGGCAGGTGGTAGATTCTTTGGATTGTTTTCTTGCCTATTTTCCTCTGCCAATAAAGGCAATGCTGTCTCAGCAGTCTTTCTAACTATTCTACCAATAGGGATTATAAGTGGTCTCATATCTTCTCATTTTTAGATGTTATTGCACCCACATAGCATATCCTAAGAACTCACTTCAAGACAAATGGCTGTCTTCTGTCCTGAATCTACACCATCATCTAAATTTTATCAAAGCCCACTAGATCAGCCCTGAACATTCATCCACCCCAGATTCTCTGCCTGAATCAGCCAGAATAGTCAGCATTCTCAACTTCTGACCTCTAGGAGAGCCTCTCTCCCAAGACCCCTAACTCTGACCCTGCCCAGCCTGAAGAAGCCAGAAGTCTCTACCTTTGACCCTGTGACCCTCAGACAGAAGTCTGACCGTGTCCTGAGAAGGGAAATGCTAGGAGTTAGCTAAGGGTAGGCAGTTAGGGCAAAGGTCAGAAAGAAGGAAGGGAAAATATCCTCACTTAATTCCTAGAATGTGTCAAAACAAGGCCATGTACCATAAAATAAGACTACCAGCCTGACAAGCCCAGCAGTCAGATAAGGATGCCTGTTTTAGTTATCTCTGTCCTTTCTAGGGCCATGTGGGCCAAAAGGCAAAGTGTGAAAAGAATGAAACAAAGAGGAAAACCTATGGACCCTATAAAAGAACCAGCTCAAAAGTCACTTGGTAGTCTACCAGCTCTGGAGACCCCACCTGACAGGATGTCTTTAGCTCTTACTCTCTGCTCTAAACAGCCTGCCTTCACACCTTTCTGAGTCTTTACTACACTCCTCCCCCACATTCAATTCTTTGTTTGCCTCTGGAAAGAACTAGAACTTCAGGGAAATCAGCCCTCAGCTCACAACCCAGTGACATAAGTTGCTTTGGCATGGTATTTTATCACAGCAACAGAAAAGTAATACAGATGGTTTCTGCAAGAAGAAAGTTGTGGTAATGAATGACAGGTCCATGAAGAATTGTCCACAGAGGAAAGTAACCAAGATGCTGTCCATGTCCCCTGAGGGAATATAAAGAATACATTATGGACTCTAATACAGCACAAAAAATTAGATTAAAATAAAATTAAACTTTGCTCTGAGGGTGTTGTAAAACATTAGAATGAACTGCGGTCCCTTTTTGAGTATTTTCCTCAAAAACTAGAGTAGGTTAGCAATGCTTTCCTATGTTCCTTTTCATTTATTGAAAAAATATATTAATAGTTAGAAAAGGTGAAAAAGTGTTGCCACATGAAAAAACTTAAAATGTTGAGAATTTAAAAATATCTGAGGCTCAATGGCTATTTAAATATCTGAGTATTAAAAGCTGAGAATATTCAACTAAGACAAATATATTAAAAATATTTCTTTAAATTATAATGTTCCCTAATAGTTAAAAAAATT